TGGTGTAGTGCCTAAGGCAAATTTGACTGCTCACCAGAAGGCTAGCAGTTCAAACCCACCAGCCACTCCTTGGAAGGAAGATCGGGCGATCTACTTCCGTAGTGATACCACCTCAGAAACCGAAGGAGGGGTCACTATGAGTCGGATCTGACTCAACAGCAGTGAGTTTGGTTTTTTTGGTTTGGTCAATAAGTTATTGTTAGGTGTCATCAAGTCATCTCTGACTCATAGTGACCCTATGCACAGCTGAATGAAACACTGCCTGGTCCTGTGCCAGCCTCACAATTCTTGCTATCCCTGCGCTCACCGTTGCAGCCACTGTGTCTATCCATCTCATTGAGGGCCTTCCCCTTCCTCGCTGACCCTCCACTTTACCAAGAATGATAACCTTCTTGAGGGAATGATTCCTTCTGACAACATGACCAAAGTAAGTGAGATGAAGTCTGGCTATTCTTGTTTCCAAGGAGCATTCTGGCTGCACTTCCTCCAGGACAGATTTTTTTAGTCCTTTTAGCAGTCCTCTTAGCATTCTTCTCCAGCACCACAACTCAAAAGTATCAACAGTTCTTCAATCTTTCTTATTCATTGTACAGCTCTCACATGCATAAGAGGTGATTGAAAATACCATGGCTTATGTCAGGTGCACCTTAGTCCTCAAGGAGACATCTTTGCTCCTCATCATTTGAAAGAGGTCCTTTGCAGCAGATTTGCCCAATGCAGTACATCGTCTGATGTCTTGACTGCTGCTTCCAGGTGTTGATTGTAGAGCCAAATAATATGAAATCTGTGACAACTTCGGTCTTTTCTCCATCCATCATGAAGCTGTTTATTGGACCATTTGTGAGGATTTTTGTTTTCTTATACTGAGGTGTAATCCATACTGCAGACTGTAGTCTTCAATCTTCATCAGTAAGTGCTTCAAGTCATCCTCACTTTCAGCAAGCAAAGTTATGTTATCTTCATATTGCAGGTTGTTAATGAGTCTTCCTCCAATCTTGATGCCATGTTGTTCTTCATATAATCCAGCTTCTCAGATTATTTGCTCAGCATACAAGTTGAATAAGTATGGTGAAAGGATACAACCTTGACACATTCCCTTCATGATTTTGAACCATGCAGTATCCCCTTGTTCTATTTGAACAAAAGCCTCCTGATCTATATACAGGTTCATCATGAGTACAATCAAGTGTTCTGGAATGCCCATTCTTCTCAATGTTATCCACAGTTATGATCCACACAATCAAATGCTTTTGCATAGTCAATAAAACACAAGTAAACATCTTTCTGGTATTCTTTGCTTTGAGCCAAGATCCATCCGACATGAGCAATAATATCCCTTGTTCCATGTTCTCTTCTGAATCCAGCCTGCACCTCTGGAAGTTCTCTGTCAATATACTGCTGCAACTGTTTTTGAAATATCTTCAGTAAAATTTTACTTGCATGCGATATTAATTATATTATTCTATAATTTCCGCATTCTGTGGGATCACCTATCTTTGGAATGGACACAAATATGGATCTCTTTCAGTCAGTTGGCCAGGTGGGTAGCTGTCTTCCAAATCTCTTGGCATAACCAAGTAAGTGCCTTCAATGGGGGATCCATTTGTTGAAACATCTCAGTGGGTATTCTGTCAATTCCTGGAAACTTGTTCTTCGCCAATTCCTTAAGTGCAGCTTGGACTTCTTCCTTCAGTACCATTGGTACTTGATCATATGCCACCTCCTGAAATGGATGAAGATTGACCAGTTATTTTTGGTACAGTGACTCTGTGTATACCTTCTTTCTTCTTTTGATGCTTCCTGCATCATTCAATATTTTGCCCACAGAGTCTTTTAGTATTGCAACTTGAAGCTTTATTTTTTTTCCTCAGTTCTTTCAGCTTGAGAAATGCCAAGTGTGTTCTTCCCTTTTGGTTTTCTAACTACAGGTCTTTGCACATTTCATTATAGTAATTGGCTTTGTCTGTTCACGCTGCCCTTTGAAATCTTCTGTTCAGCTCTTTTATCTTGTCATTTCTTCCATTTGCTTTAGCTAGTGTATGTTCAAGGCCAAGTTTCAGAGTCTCTTCTGACATTTATTTCAGTCTTTTCTTCCTTTTTTTGTCTTTTTAATGACCTCTTGCTTTCTTCATGGATGATGTTCTTGATGTCATCCACAATTCCTCTGGTTTTTGGTCATTGGTATTCAGTGCATCAAATCTATTCTTTAAATGGTCTCTAAATTCAGGAGGGATATTATTAAGGTCATATTTTGGCTTTTGTGGACTAGTTTTAATTGTCTTCAACTTCAACTTGAACATGCATATGAGCAGTTGATGGTCTGTTCCACAATCAGCTCCTGGGCTTGTTTTGGCCAAAGATATTGAACTTCTCCACATCTCTTACCACAGATGTAGTCAATCTGATTCCTGTGTATAGTCATTGCTTATGTTGTTGAAAAAAGGTATTTGCAATGAATAAGTCATTGGTCTTACAGACTTCTATCATGCGATCTCCAGCTTTATTTCTCTCACCAAGGCTATATTTTCCAACTACCAGTAACTCTTTTTTTCCAGCTTTTGCATTCCATTCACCATATGAGTGATAGATAGTCAACACATCATGATTGCAGGTTTGATCAATTTGAGACTGCAGAAGTTGGTAGAAATCTTCAGTATCCTCATCTTTGGCTTGGGTGGTTGGTACATAAATTTGTATAATAGTAGTTTTAACTGGTCTTTCTTGTAGGTGTATGGATATTATCCTATCATAGCATTGTACTTTAGGACAGATCTTGAAATAGTCTTTGTGACAGTGAATGACACACCATTCCTCTTCAATTTGTCATTCCCGGCGTAATAGATCATATGGTTGTCTGATGCAAAATAGCCAAAACCAGTCCATTTCAACTCACTAATGCCTAGGATATCAATTATGCATTCCATTTCATTTTTGACAACTTCTAATTTTTGTACATTCATACTTTGTTCATCCCATGTTCCAAGTATTAATGGATGTTTTCATCAGTTTCTGGTCATTTTAAGTCATGCTACATCAGCCAGTGGAGGTCCCAAAAACTTTACTCTATCCATATCATTAAGATCGTCTCTACTCTGAAGAGTCAGCTCTTCCCCAATCAAATTTTGAGTGCCTTCTGACCTGATGGGCTCTTCTTCTTGCACTATGTCAGACAATGTGTCAGGGCTGTTCATAAAGTTTTCCAATAATATATCAGACAGTGTTTCACTGCTATTCATAAGGTTTTCACTGTCCAATTCTTTGAGAAGTGGATGGCCTCTTCCTTCTTCCGAGTCTGTCTAAGCCTGGAAGCTCCACTGAAACCTCTCCACTGTGGGTAACCCTGCTGGCATTTTGCAACACGGAGGCATAGCCTCCAGCCTCACAGCAACACATAAGCCACCACAGGATGACAAACTGACAGACAAGCTAGTCTCCCTTAGTGGTTCCTAACCACTCTGCACCTGCCTACCTCAGGTCCCAGCTTTAATAGAGAGCCACACCCAAGTGAAAAGCAGCCTCCAAGCCCCGGTAAGTTGTACTCTTGTAAAAAGTTGAATTGGCAAATTGTGTGATAAATATATTTACACTGACAAAAAAAAAAAAAGAGTAGATGCTGAGGCTGCTTATGTACAGTCCAACCCCTCATGGATTTTTGTGCCTTGATTTAGAGGTTTAGTGCCATGTTTTCATGAGAGTCCCAATTAATCAGCCTAAAACTGTGTTTAGTGTTTCTCTTTTACCTCCTAGTTCACTGTGTAGTGCTTGGGCTCTTAAAAACTTGGAAGCAGCTTCTCAAGGCACAAAGAATTGTTCTCTATTCTTCTGGAGCAACAGAAGAAGGAGAGTCTGTAATAGGAAGATGATATGGAATGCGTAGCTAATTGCCTCCATAAACAACTGCTTTCTTGCCATGAGACCAGGAAACTGGATGGTAACTGGCTACCATTACTGAAATTTTGATCAAAGATTCCATAAACTAATCTTAATCAAAAGGGAAATGCAGAACAGATTTTCAACTTCTCAGGGACTCTAGAACATTTTGATGAAAGAATAATCTTGATCAAAAGGAGGAAAATGCAGAACAGGGACTTAAGACTTTCTGGAGCCTTGGAGGGTAGATGAATCCCTGAAACTATTTCCCTGAGATAATCTTGAAACCTTATACCAAAAATATCCCAAAGTCATTTTAATACCAAGCAATGCTTCAGCTTAAAATGGTCTGCCTAAGCATTATGCTCTTTTAAGAACTATCTAAATGAGATCACATTGGCAGGAGCAATTCAAAAGATTAGATAGAACTTTATGGGGTAGTGAGATTATATTATTGAAAAGAGGAACAGCTCAGAACAGAAGGGTAAGAATGGTTGCACAACTCAAAGAATGTAATCATTGTCAGTAAGTTATACATGTAGGAACGGTTGAATTGGTGTGTTTTGCCGTATATATTAACAACAAAAGAAATACAGTTTAGAGAGAAAAGGAAGAGTAACGTGACCATAATTTAAAAGTTTTGAGTATTAGAGAAGAGAAAAATAATCACCCTTACTCCTTCAACCATCATGCAAATACTCATTAGTATTTTTTTCTTCCTTTTTTGTATTTTTGACAGTGTTGTGATCATGTATTGTAATTATCTTAACAAGTTTTATGTCTTACTTTCCCAATGCTTTATTTTAATTTTTTCCAAACACAAAACTTCTTTTTCTACTCTGGTATATTTCATAAGTACTGAAATAATAATGATGGTATGAGTGGAGAGTTTCATTATCTACGTACTGGCTATGCATGAAATCTTGGATGAAATCTATTTGTATTGAAATAATCACTTAAATAAAATTTCCTAATCTTTTCTATTTTTACAAACTGATTAAAAAGAATTAAAATGACTATAAAGAAAATGTGCCTTATCTAGATAAAGTATCTGCAGTAAGGAAAAACAGCTTAGGTACTTAAATATAAAGTGTAACCTTTTTTTTCCTTTTTTTTTTCTTAAATTTAAGGTCTATTTTAGCTTCTTACCTCCTGAAGGAAAAGCTCAACATTTTGGGCAAATTGGGTTGTCTGCTAAGCTGTGCAGGGTCTGTCGTGCTGATTATCCACTCCCCCAAATCTGAGAGTGTGACGACTCAGGCTGAGCTGGAGGAGAAACTAACCAATCCAGGTAATTCCTTTATAGCAACACTGCCAGGAGAGCTTGCCAACAATGGCACAAGGTTTTGACTTTTCAAAATGGTGTTTTATACTTCCTGGATGTTTAGTTGTTCCATTTGATCTTTTATCACACATCTTATGTTCATCATGCACACCTGATTGCACTTTCTACATTCTCCAGCTCTCTCCCTCTAGTGTTTGTAGAGTCATCCTTTCTTGAGGTGCATCAGAGCCTGGGATAGAGCTAGAGTAAGCCTGGTTGGGTCCCTGTTCTGCATTTGTGACCACTATTGAGCACCTCCTGGAGGATACCTCCAAATAAGTGTCTGAAAGGAAGCTGTCATACCTTTTCTCTCAATCCTTCATCCCTGCACTGGTTCCTCTTCAGCTTTTTGTACCTCTGGCATCTCAATAGGCCTCCTTCCTTGTTTATCCTCTCTCCCATCCCTTCCCCAGAGCCCTCTGTTGTCACACTGTTGTAATCTTCCTGTCATGCAGGAGTTCACTTCTAGTCCTTCTGTGACCTTTCAGCCCTGTGCATGCTCATTGCCCCTTTTTCCACTGTCCCCTTAAGTCTCTAGAGTCAGAAGATGGGCCCACCCCTGAAATCCATGCTCTTCTGGGAGCCATGCCTCTCAGTAAGGTCAGTCCTCCCAGGCTAGGCATGTACACATGCCAGAAGTGCCAGCCTGTGAATATGCTGACAGGCCTGTGGATGATTGCACCTGCTTCTCTTTGCCTTATCCTTGTCCTCCCTCCATGGTCACCCATCACAGCCCACTTGCTTCTCTACATTCTCCTGTAGCCAGCCCTATCTGCAGTGGTGGTCAGGTCTCTGGGGCCTGACATTATGAACCTGTGCCCTCCCCTTGGTATCATCATTCTCCTTTATGATGCTTGTATGTCTGCACAGTAGTGTTTCTCTCAGATTTCAAGCTCTTTGAGGATATAAATTGTGTTTCATTTATCTTTGTATCTATAGGACCTCTTATAACTTATTATTTGACACATGCAATAAAATTATATCTGTTAATTACATTGGTTTTGTAGACCACCAATAAGAAGCCCTAGTGGCACAATTGTTAAACTGGGTGCTAACCAAGAGGTTCCTAGTTAGAACCCACCAATGGCTCTGTGATAGAAAAGACCTGGGAGAAAAGATCTTGTGATCTGCTCCTGTAAGATTTCACCTGGGAAACATTACAGGGCAGTTCTATTCTGTCATACAGGGTTGCTACCAGTTGGAATCTTCTCTAAGGCACACAACAGACCACCATCAGTTCTAGATGGGTACTGGCACACAATTACTTCCATATCAGTATCCAAATACAGATAATCTCTATTACACAAAAATTGGCCATTATTTTGTAGATCTCAAGGAGCAGTGATTGACATAGCAAGAAATGTATATTAAATTTTAAAAAGCAATTCATAGTGAAATTACCCAAGGCTCCATCTCCTAGTAATTTTTTATCCCTAAAGATCTGGTGGTACAGTGGTTAAAGCATTCAGCTATTAACCAAAAGGTTACCAGTTTGAAATCACTAGCTGTTTTGCAGGAGAAAGATCAGTCAGTCTGCTTCCATAAAGATTTACAGCCTTGGAAACCCTATGGGGCAGTTCTACTCTGTCCTATAGGGTCACTGTGAGTCAGAGTTGACTTGATGGCCATGGGTGTTGGTGAAGGTTATCATTATGATGTTCACGTCCTCTCATAAAAACCAAAATATTTCCAATACTGTAGAAATAAATAAGTATACAAAGTCTTGAATAAAGGTGAACCTTCTGAGTACTTTATTTATTTATTTATTTAGGTTGGGTTTTATTTTGTTTTTTAAAAATATAGACTATTCAGCTTTTGTCACTTGTACAATTCAGTGAAACCAATTACATAAATCATGTTGTTCAATTATCACCAGTATCCATTGCCATATTTTTCATACCTATAAACAAGAACTTAATTCTACCTAGGCAAAAATTTCCCTTTCTTTCCTTCCCTCCTGCCCCTGTTGACTAGCCATAAAGAGAATTGTAGTCCAGGTATATCTGTCAAAAATAGATAAACCTTGAAAACCTTATGCTGAGTGAAATAAAAAAAAATTTATCACAAAAGGACAAATACAGTATGATTTCACCAATATGAAACACTTAAAATAGCCAAAATGCTTCTTTTTGGTGAATGTGGGTGATAGCAATATATTCAGTGGTAACTTTTTATAAAAAAATATGTATCATTGGAATAGCACCATAAATATTTGCATGAAAATATAATGGTAGCAAAAAAGATATTTTTTAACATGAAAAGCTTTTGATTACTACAGAAGTAGATTGCCCAATCTTCCTTCTGAGGAGTGGCTGGTAGGTTTGAACCACCAGGCTTCTGGTTAGCAGTCAAATGCCTTAGGCACTGCACCACTAGAGCCCCTACCTAGAATATAAGGTGGCATTATTCTGGCCACTTAATTTATTAGATTAAAAGTGGTTTATTTAAAAAAAAATGTTTCTTATTTTTTCAAGGTAAAAGCACTAGAATGAATTCTTGTCCTGTAAAATTAAAATCAGCACTTGTTTATGTTTGTCAAACTGCTGATATGTGAGCTCTAAAATTCAGAGGGGAAGGACATGACAGGCTAGAAGGAAAGTTCTCTAAGGAGAGATTAATATAAAACTCATTCTCAATGGGAAAGATGTCATCCTAAGAGAGCAAAAATTGGTTGTTGGGGGGTAAAAAAAGTCTTACTCTTTTTATGTATAAAGCACCAATATACAATGAGTACATAAATGCATAGTATATCTATGATGTTAAAATTTCATGAGAGTGGGCAATTGGGAAATAATGTCTAAAATGGTTCCTGAGGAGGACAATAATGAGGAAAAAAAAAAAAAACAGACAAAAATAAAGAGAAAAAATTGAGAAATATCGATGTAAAATAAGAGTCACAAAGCTGAGGAGCATCTGGCTGATTTTACTAAAGAAAAAAAAAAAAAAAAAGAAACAAAGATTGCTCACTGAAAATAGCATTTACTTGAGTCTAGATTTTCCTTTTGGAGCTGCCCAATTCTTACAAACAGTTGCTAGGGCATATTGTCATTATCTCCCTCCTCCAGTCCCTCTTTCCAGCAAGGACAGATGGTCTCTTCTGCCTCTCACCACTGCCCACTCCCACCTCCAGGCATTTTACTGCCTGGCAGCCTTCTGAAATGTAGGCCAGATTATCCTTTCCCTGTTTAAAAACCCTATGCAAACTCCCCCTTCCCTTCAGAGAAAGCCCAAACTACTCCATGCTCATGTGCAGCTTTTCTTGCTACTAAGGTGCACATTTCCATTCAAGCTGCTTCTAAACCTCTGCTTTCCCCCATACTTTGTACTTGCTGATCTTTCTGCCCTCCATTGCCCTTTGTCAAGCTTGTTGTTCAGGCTTCCTGACATCTTTCAACTGTTATTCTGGTGTCCATTTTCCCGAGAGAGTCTTCCTGGATGCTCTTCCTCCGACGCTGGAACAGGACTAGGGGCCTGCATCAGAGTCTCCAGAGTTCCTCTTTATCCCCTGGAAAAAAGAGGGAAACTCCACATCCTCCTTGCTGGTTTACGTATCTACTGCCTATTGAGTTTGCCAAACTCTGTTCCCATGCCTATCAGGCCCAATACCTAGCAACCCCCTTTATGATCTGGGAATGAAATTAATGGAAAACAAAACCTCCTTGTATACATAGGGAGCTCTGGTGACATAGTGCCTAAGGCATTTGACTGCTAACCAGAAGGCTGGCAGTTCAAACTCACCAGCCACTCCTCAGAAGGAAGGTTGGGTAATCTAATTCCGTAGTGACACTGCATCAGAAACCCAAGAAGGGGTCTCTGTAACTTGGATCTGACTCGATGGCAGTGAATTTGGTTTGGTTAGTTTGTATGCATAGTTTGAAAGCAACCAATATGATGCCCTAACTGTAATATAAAGAAGAAATAGCGGGATGGCACTTTATAATAAAATAGGCATTTCAATATATGAATGCTTGGGCACAACTACATGAGAAGAGATTGAAGTAGGCAGACCCTACAGCACCCAAGGAATCACTGAGAATCTGGCAGCTGCAAATAAAAACTGATGTGGGGTATGTTATTATTGGCTCAGACACTCAGATGTGTCTTTGCCATCAGCAATGTGATCCTCCAAAATGAAGAATCACTCGATGAAGTTCTGATTAGATAAAGAAAAATCTTCCCTTAACTTACATGGAAATTATACTTCTGAAAAATTAATTGTATATTAAATTCATGTAAAACTTGTATTTTCTTTTTAATTTTTATTGTGATTTGGGTGAAAGTTTATAGAGAATTTTCCATGCAGCAGTTCATATACATTTTGTTTCATGCCATTGATTGCAATTCCCCACAATGTAACAGCTATTTTCCCACTTCCTCCCTGTAGTTACTTCTTCCCTGTGTCCCTCTTTCCTATGCTATCTCCTTGTGCAAACATTGCCCTTCTGTTCTTCCACTTTTGATCACTCTGAGGAGTGAATCTACTTGATACATCATATGTATATGCCTGTCTGTTGTTTGGCTAGAAACCACAGGAGTGAGTTCAGTTCCAGACCTGAAGGGTAACTAGGGGCCATAGTCTCAGGAGTCGAACCAGACTCTATCAGACCAGCATATTTTTCTTATGATTTTGAGTTTTGTTCCATGTTGTTCTCCCACTCTATCCAGGATCTCAAAACTTACTTTCCAAAGTACATAAAATAATTTCTGGGTTTTGATATAAATATTTTTCACTTATAAGTCCAAGGAGATATTTAGAAATTGTGAGGATGAGATGATTTTTTACTGTGTGGGACTGTCTGCACAACTCAGTGCTCCTTATCTCTGCCCACTGTATGCAGCTCCCAATTATCGCAGCAGTCACAGATACCTGCATAGCTTTCGCACCTAACCTCCTGTCCCCATTGTCCAGGTGCCCTATCTGCCTGTGATAAAGTGAAGGGAAAAAAAAAAATCCACTGCCACTGAGTTAATTCTGACTCATAGTTGACCCATAGGGTTTCCAAGGCTGTAAACCTTTATGGAAATAGATTGCTTCAACTTCCTCCCACACAGAGGCTGATGGCTTTCACCTGCAGATCTTCTGGTTAGTAGCCACATGCCTTAACAACTATACCACCAGAGCTCCTTCTGCCTATGAGAGGCATTCAGCAATAGATTTGTTTAATTGCCTCTCTAAACTAAGAAAATCCATCTTGTGAATAGCTTTTTTTCCCCCCCAACCTTAAAGTATCTAAGTTGATTTTTATTATTACTAATAGTAATACTAAGGAGTCCTGGTGGCACAATAGTTAGGCACTTGGCTAACTGAAAGATCAGTGATTTGAACCCACCAGCACCTCCTGCGGAGAAAAGATTTGGTATTCTGCTCTCATAAAGATCTCAGCTTAGAAACTGTAGGGTCAGTTCTCCAAAACACCAATCAAACTCACGGCTATTGAATCAATTCCAACTCATAGCAACCCCCATTGAGTTTCCAAGGCTGTAAATCTTTACAGAAGCAGACTGCCTCATCGTTCTACCACAGAGCAGCTGGTGAGTTTGAACCACTGACCTCCTGGTTAGCAGCCAAATACCTTAACCACTTTACCACAAGAGCTCCTTATAGGGCACTTCTACTCTGAGTTGACTCATAGTCATAAGGTCACTATGAGTTGAAATTGGGAGCTCTGGTAGCGTACTGCCTAAGGCACTTGACTGCTAACCAGAAGGCTGGTGGTTCAAACCCACCAGTCACTCCTCGGAAGGAAGTTGGGGCAATCTACTTCCGTAGTGATACTGCCTCGGAAACCCAAGGAGGCGACTCTATGAGTCGGGCCAACTTGAGGGCACATAGCAACAACAACATGAGTTGAAATTGGGAAACCTGGTGGCTTGGTGGTTAAGGCATTCAACTGCTAACCAAAAGGTTCGTGGTTTGAACTCACCAGCCACTTCACAGGAAAAGATGAGACAGTCTGCTTCCATAAAGATTTACAGCTTTGGAAACCCTGTGGGGCAGTTCTTCTGTGTCCTATAGGGTTGCTATGAGTCAGAATTGACTCCATAGCAGTGAATTGGGTTTGTTTTTTATGAGTTGCAATCAACTCAATGGCATACAACAATAAGTAGAGGGCTTATTTATTGATATGTTAATATTTAGGAGCTATAAATGTTTTAATGGTGAGAATAATTTTTGTGGAATGAAATCAGTGCATCTGGTAAACTCAACCTAGAACACTATGGTACCTGCCTGCCCCAAGCCAAGGCCACACTGTGCCCTCTGGAGCACAGTCACCCAAAGAAACACAATGATGGGGGACCCATAGGTCATGGTATCTGGGTCACTGCCCAGGGTCACCATCTGCCATCTGTGTTCCAGTGTTTGTGGGCTACCTGTGCATCGTACTCCTCATGCTGCTGCTCCTCATCTTCTGGATTGCTCCAGCCCATGGGCCTACCAACATCATGGTCTATATCAGCATTTGCTCCTTGTTGGGGAGTTTCACCGTGCCTTCCACTAAGGGCATTGGGCTGGCAGCCCAAGACATCTTCCACAACAACCCATCTAGTCAGAGAGCCCTCTGCCTATGTCTGGTACTCCTGGCTGTGCTCGGCTGCAGCATCATCATCCAGTTCAGGTACATCAACAAGGCACTGGAGTGCTTTGACTCTTCAGTGTTTGGGGCCATCTACTACGTCGTATTCACCACACTGGTCTTGTTGGCCTCTGCCATCCTGTTCCGAGAATGGAGCAACGTGGGCCTGGTGGACTTCCTGGGGATGGCCTGTGGGTTCACGACCGTTTCTGTTGGGATTGTCCTTATACAGGTGTTCAAAGAGTTCAATTTCAACATTGGGGAGATGAACAAATCTAATATGAAAACAGACTAGGATGAAATGGAGGGTGTTGGGTAGCTTGAGGAACAGAAAATGGATATAGTTTCTGTTTCTAATTTGATGTGGAGTGGAAGACATCCTAAATAACTAATATTAAAGTTGCCCATTATAGGTGATCTGGTACACAGAGGCCTATACCCTAAAACCATGTGCATTGAAGCATTACTCAGCACCACAATGGGAGCCCTGCCCTCTAGAAGCTGAAATTACTGAAGGGTTGCCTGGATGTCATCTCTTCAATGAGGGAAGTCTCATTTTCATTGTCATGAATACTCTTCCTTTTAAAACATTTTAACATGATTTACACAGAAAGTAAAGATAGGCTTTTTCTGGTTAGTTTTTATAAAGGAGCAGATGTTGTTACTTAGATTACTTTGGAAATGGGAGAAGTTGTTTTCAAATCTGATTCTCTAGAGTAAATGCTTTGATAGTTGTGTTACTTTGCATTAGGCATGTACAGTGTTCAGGGACTATCTTAGTTATCTAGTACTGCTATTACAGAAGTAGCACAAATGGATGGCTTTTACAAATAGAAATTTATTTTCTTACAGTTTAGAAGGCTTTAAGTCCAAATTCAGGGCACTGACTTTAGGAGAAGGCTTTGTGTTTCTGTTACCTCTGGGAAAAGGTCCTTGTCTTTTTAGCTTCTGTTTCCTGGTTCCTTGAAGATCTCAACATGGCTTGGCATCTATCATCCCCCATCTCTGTTTGCTTAATCTGCTCCTTTTATATTTTGTAAAAGGTTGACTCAAGACATCTTCCACAACAACCCATCTAGTCAGAGAGCCTTCTGCCTATGTCTTATATTCCTGGCTGTGCTAGGCTGCAGGAGCATCATCCAGTTCAGGTATATCAACAAGGCACTAATCTGCCTCATTAACATAACAAAGCCAATCCATTTCCAAATCGGATTATAACCATAGGTTAGGGATTAGGATTTACAACACATATTTTTGGGGTACAAAATTCAATCCATAATGGATACCTTACCCAAATAAGAGATATAATATGTAATTGTTTTTAATCTTTTAAACAAGTTGTACCCTCCTCCTCTAACCTAAAAACATTTTAATAGCAAATATATAGAGAAGAGTGAATGGACACAATTCAATGCCCATTTACAGATGAGTTTCAATAGCTTACATCAGTATCAGTGCCTTTATCACTTCAACTGTTCACTTAATTTGAATATTACTGTGTGTACATTCTCTTAGGTTAGAATAATGCAACTTGATTATTTCAACTATAAGTATGTGAAGCAATTAGAAATAATAGTATATTCTTTGAAGACAGCCAAGACTAAAGACACATTAGAGCAAATTGACCCTTTTAGCATGTAGTTGTTGTCCAATTAAAGACATTTCTTTAAAAAGCATGAGACATTTTATTTTCATTCAATCTATGTAACTGGAATCCAGTATCAAATATATCCATATTCATTTTGAGCAAGCATTCTGGCTGTTGATTAGATGGTCATTCAAAAGAAAGAAATTATTTAACTTGATAATAAGGCTGTTAAATGAGAGAGTAACTGTTAAATAGCCCATATATTGACTTCTCTGTCAGGAGACCAAGTCAACACAGGAACTAGTTAAAGGACACAATTAGGCTATTTTCTACAAATTGGAACACATATAGCTTTTGATAGTGACTTTTTCAGAGAATGTCTAACAAAAATGAAAACAATTAATTTAGTTACTTCCTTGTTTGAGATGGCAGAACATCCTACAATTCCTCATTCAAACTCATATTAAACTTCGTAAATGGAAAATAACCACTAATTATTCCAGTATTTAGATCGAGACCATTTTTCTGCCGATAGTAATATTTCATGTGCACAAAGTGATGCAAATACTTCATATACTCTATTATCCAAATAAAAGATTATGCTAAATTGAAAGATGGGATTGGGTAAAATATATTACAATGAAGTAGTATATGAAATTTAATAAAACCCAACTAAAGTTACTCACTAAGGAAAAGAATACATTTTCTAGGCAAAAAGAACATTTCTAAAGTAAAGACCAAGGAATAGTTCCCAAAGGATTAAAGAAGTTAAACAAAATGGACAATACTTTAACATACAGCAAAAAAAAAAAATACCTTTATACATGTCGTAATCCTGGGTTGTCTGTGATTTCTGACTAATAGCACAAAAAAAATCACTTGAAAAAATTTTTTATATCTTATATTAACTGTAGTTAATATATGCCCAAAATGTCCATTAACTGTTTTTATCAGTTCTTCAAGTCTTGCTTTTAATCATCAGTACTTTTAGGAATATAGGCCTTAATTTATTGAACTGAACTTATTTATTTACTTTTAAGCACAGAATATTTTCCTAGGTAAGGATTTTGAGATAGTCAGAGAAAATACGTATGGCTATACAAGCATAATGAGAATGTTCATGTTTCCTTATGGAAATTATCATTTTAATGTTGATAGAATTTACACATGAAGTTTAGTGTAAATGCATCTATCAGTGTACTTCATTACATTTTAATTCACAATTATGCCCTGGATTTTAAGAGGTGATATCTAGTTGATCTTCCCCATGATTTTTGTTCTTTAGAGTAAAAGAAAATCTTAAAGTATTGAGGGTAACTGGTTCTGGGCAAAGTTAGACTCTTCCAGACTTATCCTGTTCAGCAAATTACCTTAGTAAGATACGCTTTTATTCCAGTGGAACAAAGTTCATTATGATCTATTGTATTTCAAGTTTGTGACACTAGCCTCAGAGTAATTAGTATGACTAGTTAGTTAAACTAAACATAGAGCATATAACTTCTGATCTGAATGATACTTATTTTGTAAATGTATGTTTTCATAATTCATTCACAAACACAGAGAAAAATACAAAAAGTGAAGACTTAAAGGATTTACAATCCTGACTAAAACTCTCCCAAGTGAAAGCTTTGGGAGAGAGCCTAGAATGGGAATGGGTCTCTTTTTGGTTTTTCTAAAAGTAAATATATGCAAAACATCTGTATTATTATTATGTTTTTTAAATATTATCTCAATAAACCCAAGAACAAAGTATCTACTGCAAGCTTCCTTTAAGCATCATACATTTTTTTAAAATCACAATTTGTAGCTTTATGGTTGATGGATTTTTAAATAGTATATATCTCTCTTCTCCTACTTAGACAATGACTTCTTTCCTCATCTAAATTTATGCATTTAAAAATTACTTACTGTCCTGCTCATTGATCAAGTGTTGGGCATATCTGAGAGATCACCTGGAACATTTTGCTGTTCTGCATGACCCCTCTATCTCTGGAAGGTTCCCTGGAGGAAAGGCAGATGTCCCTGGCCTACTAATGGCCTTGTTCATCACTCATACTGTAATTATGGTGGTTTTTTCATATGGAATGTTAGTGAAATATGGTTTGCTGCCCCTTTGTACAGCAGTGAGAAATATTCTTTCAGTTACTTTGAAGCCAATTTGTTATATTCATTTTTATTTCCATAAATTCATCTCAGCAGCTTCTTCTTTGGGTTTCATGTCTGTTTCTGATAGAAGAGAACACTATTAAAATGTACAGTCACCTTTCAGCTTCCTTATTCCTCTTTGTTCCTAGACTCCTCGAAAGCATTGGAGATGCAGTGTCTCCCAAGTGTGGACAAGCTCTTTGATCCACTGAAAGAGATTTGTTGATAAGCAAAGCTCCACTGTGGTACATAATTCTTGCTGGGCGATGCCTTTTTTCCAAGCTGTTCAACTAGTTCCAGAAGAGCTGGAGAAAATGCTCTGATGGTTCAGAGAGACCCTCAGTGAATTTTGTCAGATGCCTACATGATCCTGACTTTGGCCTCCCGTGACTGAGTAGGAAAATAGTAAGAGAAGAACATTTAAGTTTAAAATCTTTTCAAGACTGTATGGATTGGCTTCAAGTAGTCTGAAGGAGTTGTCCTTCTCAGTGTGTCTGCAAGAAGGAAGTAATTCATCCATCAAGCAGGCCATCTCAGGGACAAAAAAAAAATAGTAACATTAACTTCTTAGTATTGATCTTCCTCCCAAGAATATCTCCATGCTAATTTTTGTACTTTTCCCTCCTACTCATAGCTAGAGAGGTCTATTGACTTGAGTTGGAAAGAGAAAAGATCAATTTGCACACCAGTCACATCCTAAGACAGTTTATATAAAATACCTCAATTTTCTGTAATTCTTACTTCCACATTATAATTGTATTGGTGATGAATTTTAAGGATCTGTCCTTAAGCCTTAGAAACCCTGTGGAGCAGTTGTACCCGGCCCTGTTGGGTCACTATGACTCATAATAAACTCAATGGCAACAGGTTTGATTTTTGGTATCCTTTAGCTTAAGGCCACATGAGGAAGATGAGGGCAATCTACATCTGTAAAGATTTACAGCCTTGGAAACCCAATGGCGGTCACTATGAATCAGAATTGACTTGAGGGTAGTGGGTTTAGCTTAAGTAGCTCTGGTGGCTAGTGGTTAAAGCTAACTGAAAGGTCAGGGGTTTAAAGTCACCAGCTGGTCTGTGGGAGAAAGATGGAAGCAGTATGCTTCTATAAAGATTTACAGCCTTGGAAATGCTATGAGGCCATTCTTTTCTCTCCTCTAGGGTTGCTATGAGTTGGAATAAACTCAATGGGTACAGGTATCCCTTACCTTATAGGTGATTTTCACAGCAGGCCAGATTCTCACACCTCCATGCTATACTAGAAAAGATTAAGAATTTTAAGAACAGGAATGAGAACTTGGCCTAATAACACTATTCATTTTTATGCAAATTTCTCATATGCTATTAAATGCAATAAAAATTATATTTTAAGAAAATTAACTTTGTTCCATCCAAAAACGTTTCCTAATAAAAAGCTGATGTTCAGTAGAACAATTAAAATGTAAATACAAATCTACTTCAAACGTGTCCAGTGTGAAAATAAAAGCATAGTCTAGGGCTCAGAGCATGTACCAAGGAGAAGGACTTATTCTTTTCTTTATTTTTCCCTGAATTGTGCAAACATA